AAAATAGAATACGTTCACACGGGGCCGGTCAAGTTTGAGGACACCTCGGTTTTAGGAGTTCCCACTGTTCACACGGAACCGTCCACATTTGTACGGATTGAAGCAGTGTTCACACGGATCCGTTCATGCTTCGAAGTGACCTGTCCTCAAAGTGGGACGGCTTTCAAGCTGGCAACAAACCTGAACATTTTGCCAGCCTCAGATGAGGCCAGTTCCAGAGTTCCAGTGTGAACGCGCGGCTAAACTAGAACGGTCCCGAACGGAACCGGCCCCGTGTGAACGTAGCCATAAAAAAATAGTACGAGTCTGGCATCGGAAAGGTATCGAAACACAGCATTTGGTCACTATGGTAACAATCGAAGACCTCATACTGACCATGCGTAAGAAAATTAATAAGTTGTGAAACTTGAATAGCTGATTAGTTAAAAAAGCACCACAGATTTCATTATCTTACCCAACTTATTTTTGTGGTCAAAATAGCTACAATTACCTCCCTTTACCGAGACCTATGGTTAACCGGGATTCAATGCGGTCGTGGTTTAAATTTTATACATATATGGAAAATCAAAATTCGCAATCCTCTAGGTTCAATGCAAATAAGCGCAATGTGATGTACATGAAACAATAGAAAATAAAGGAATTTTGTAGAATTCAGTACAATAGACCTCTGCAGCTTTTACGTCATGTACCGTATACGCAATGCATTATAGGATATGTTTGGGACAAAAAATGGCGGGTTTCTTTTGTTTTCTCTAGAAACTGATCCCACAATGCATTGAATGTTCAGAAGTCTATTGAGCACTATATAACTATATAACTATTTAATGTTTGCATTCGACTACCGAGCCGTATTACCTTKTGTTAAGTCATCGACTCCATCAGGGTTTTTACTTTGCTTAAGAGTGGACACGGAACTGCGAGTCGAGCTTGTGAGTGACGGTAGAATACTTTTCCCTGTACTATTACAGATTTAAATGGATTTTTGTTAATCGTTATTGTATTTAACAAATTTAAAGGGACATGGTCCACTACCATGCAATGCGGTCGTGTTTTAGATTTTTCATATATGGAAAATGAGGTGACTTCGAATATCCATTTGCAATCCGTCTCCATCCATCGGCTTAACGGTCGAATCTTAAAGCATCTCCATTCATATAGGATAAAGGAATAATGAAGAGTAAGTTTTTGCTTATATTACGATGTATTTCTATTTTCAAACCTAAACAAAAGCTCGAAAGGGATGCTGGTGGACCATGTCCCTTTAAGTTTCGTGTGTTTCGACTTCGTCTCGCGGATCAAGAATGATCTAGCCGATTTGATGACCAAACTGCGGTAATCAGAGGACATACCACACGAAACTATCGTGAATTTTTGTTTTTACCTCAAATAATTGTTTTACCAGTACTGTGTGCGTTTTGCAAGTTAAAAGAGCAACTGAAATGTCATTTCAAACTGAACCAATTATTTATTTCAACAAATCAATGTACATACTTTTTTCGGTTTTTGATTGGTTAAATAAAATGGAAATAATGTAAACGTGGTATGTACTTTTATTTACCACGGCTCGAGACCAAACAGAAATAGAGAAAATTATTATATGTGGTAAAATATTCTATATTCAATTTTGAAACTAACAAAGCTTTTTAGTTAACACTGCAAAGAAATTACCTTGACAGTTTTGTACTTGTATGGAATGACTTTGATGCTGATGTTGATTGCTGGAAATGAATAATAGTCGATTAAATAGTGTGACGTCAAAACTACTTTAGGATTCGCTACAGTTAGCTATAGTCCAGGAGCCCATTTCTAGGAGCGTCCATGTACAACGACGTTCTCATAATCGTGCCTTTCTTTAGATTTTTCTTAATCCGTCTCTTCAGTAGTAACTTATTTGTTATTTCTTATTAAAAAAAACTAGAAGAAAATTCATGTTCACTATCATTCGCCATGTTTTTTAAATTTTTTTCATTTTGGTTTCCTGCGTGATTCTGCACTCACATAACACCGGAAGTTATTGCTCATCAATAACTTGAGCAAAGAATCTATAAACATGTCTTTGAAAACGCGGTGAACAAACCAAATACACATCATGGAGGCTCTTATCAATGGCCTTCTTAACAGTGGTCAGGACTTGTTCGTCATACCTTCACTCCATCCCTTTTAGCTTTTACCGGTTCGTCTTCGCCTGGTTTGACCGATGTACTGCTGTCAATGCCGATCGATGTCACTTCTCGTAGTCTTTTCTTTAAATCTCTACAAGTCTTTTTATAATAGTACAGGTCTCTTTCTAACTGTTGAGTTCGCTGGTCTTTCTCGCTAAACATTGAAACATTTAATGATGAATTTTATGAATATATCTAACTTTCTACGCTAACAATGACAGTTGCGCCATTTTGAATGAAGCATGATGGGAGTTGTAGTTTTCGCATTCTTTATAGTACCTAAAAAAACTAAAAGCGTTTTGTTTGTTTATTGTTATTGTTTTGCGTAGAAACAGCACAGCTATGCTTTATTGCACAAAAGGTCACATTCTTGGGTTTCAACCACATGATCAAGAATTCCTCSATAATTAAAGRACAAAGCTATCGCCGCCATGTTGGATGACTGAACAAATGAAAGTAATGAGAAATGTTTTGTTATCTTCATCCAATATGGCGGCGATGATGTCACGAGAAACCGAGGAATAGTCTCTACGCCAACCTGAAAGGTAGCCGTGCCTTACATCTAAGCAAGACAACCGTTGAGCGTGCAATGATAGATACCTGTGAATAATTGTCTGTAGGTGTGAAAGAAGGTTTCTATCATTGCACGTTCAACGGTCGTCTCGCTTTGATGTTAAGGCATGGCTACCTTTCAAGATGGCGCAGGGAACCGTGAAGAAGACTATTGGGCTCGGTTCATACGTCGAGCCAGCGTCGCGCCGAACCAAATAGTTTGAATTTAGCACATGAACAGCTCGACGTATGAATCAAATGAGTTCGGCGCGACCGTAGCACGGCAGCGCCAGTCGTGCTGCACGGCAAAAGCTCGACGCTGATTCATACCTCGAGCTTTCGTCGTGCCGAACTTAATGCACAAAAATATCTGTTTTCGACAATAATAATGGATGTAAATTTCGTGTTATCAGACCTTTTCTCATGCATTTGACTGCATTTGGTTCGACGTATGAATCAACGCAGTACCAAGTGTATTTGGGTCGACACAGATTGACTATTTGGTTCGGCGCGACGATAACACGACGTATGAACCGAGCATTAGTATATTGCACTTACCTTTCTTTTACCACAGCGGTGTCGATGTCGCCCAACTGACTCATCAAAAACTGAACTTTCTCTTCGTGTTCTTGCTGCAGTTTTGTGACTTTACGTTCAGCTACCATCACTGACTGCTGTAAGTTTCGTTGCAGTTCACCAATAATTCTCTCTTGCTCATTGATACGAACGTCTCTGTCACTGGACTCAATTTGCAGCTGAGGAAACAACTTGGTAATCAGTTGCTTTTACATAAAGGGTTACTTAATACAAAGAATTCAGGGGGAGCAGGGGACGATTCATCACTTTGACTCTTTTGAATTTTTTTAGATCATCCCTTAATGACGTAATCCCGCCCGTCATCGCAATGCATTATGGGATGTCATTTATCAAAGAAAATCAAAAATATTGGATTGTTTAAAAAACATTTGTTGTATTTGTTGACATTTTTCTATGTATGCTCACTGCCAAAATGGTCGATCGGGGTTGGTAACGTTACCTGACATATAGGGGCGATTGGGAGGGGAGGTCAAACGAAACGCATCGTTGAAGCGGTCAATTTAAAACTGTTAACTTACTTTGCGTTCGCTCTGCCTCAGTTGTATCACCTTGTCCAAGTAACGATGCAGTAGGTTGATAGCGTCGTCTTTATCGAGCCCTTGGATCTCTTTGTTGAGTGTGTTAGGGTCAGAGGTTTGTATCTCACGTTCTTTGYTTTCTATGTTATCAGTTTTGTAGTCAATAGCAACCTCCAAAGCCTCGATACCTTCGTCGAGYTCGATTAGTCTTTAAATAGAAATACAAAATAGTAGTAAAGGCGTTTGGCATATAAATGATTTCTAATCAAAACTAACTATATCTCAACAAAAATACATCATTTAAAAAAACTCATTTTTTTATTTTGAGAGGGTAGCACGTAATAGTCTCTAGACTAATAAACTTGTGGCCCTCTATATATTCACTCATACTCACTACCTCAACATTCATTATTTTACTACACGACACTCCTCACAGCTAGTTTTTGACTGAGGGAGGAAAACCAGCGGACCTGTAGAAAAACCCTCGGAGCAAAGAAGAGAACCAGCTTACAAACTCAAATCACATATAGTCCCGKACCGGGAATTCACTAAGAAATGCTTGTAAAGACCGAAGAACAAGATATACAAAAMATCTCAACTCGTCATGTTCCTCGCCCTGTATATTGCTATAAATGCCTAGGCAAGATTTAAAGCGAGAAGCATAGGTCCAAAACACCGTCGAAGCTTCGTGATAAGTTCCAGAAACAATTGCACAGTGCACTCTAGTACCTCGTAATTTTTAGTAGTAAAATAAGAAGTACCTTGCCTCTTCAATTGGATCAAGAAGTTCACCAGCTTTCAATTTGTCCTCAAGCAGAACTCGCTGTTTATTCAGCTCGTCTCGTGTTTGGACCAAACCGTGTAAACTATCCGTGTCTGAAATAAAACATGATTGATTTATTAATTTGAATATTAAACAAAAAACAAACAAACAATCAAACAAAGAAAAAAACTACCATGGGGGGAGGGGAGAAAGACAAAATACTTGATTTGCATTATGGCATCACATACAACCAAGACCAGAATACGTTGCCCACTTTTACTTTATTTATTTATTTATATACATGATATCAAAGAGGCAAGATTTTGCTGTAACTCCGAGTTTCGTGCTACGCACTCATCAGACAGTATTTAATGTAGCTCTACACTTTTTTTTAATGGGATCAGCTACTTCCTCATACGATTATTTATTTATTTATCAACTTATCTATTTATTTATTTGTAATGCACTTAGTTGATTTAATATTTTAAGTGGGATCACAAATCTGCTGGGCATTCTGTTAAGACTAATTACATTACAAGAGGAAGTAGGTATAGCATTCTGGTCTTGGTAGTATGCGACGTCATCGTTCACATTGCCGAGAAGATTATCGACAGGATGTGCAGGTATTGAATGGCGATACTGATCATTGTGGAACTTTAATTTGGCAAATTTTTCGCGTATTCACTTATCTTATATTTCCGAACATTAATTGAATAAAAATACATACTCTGTTTAGACTCTTCTTGTTGTTTTATTTCTTGTTCGACTTTCATCAGCT